ATAAGCAAAGGCAATGGAAGTAAGGGTTCCTGTTCTGTTGGTCCTTCTGGCAGAGAAAGCAGAAAGCCTGCTGCTCAGACTTCTCAAAACATTAAACCTGTGATGATTGTCTTAAATTTTGTTAGTACAGCTCAGAATATAGCATCTACATGCTCTTCTTTAAAAAACATTAAAAATAGGATGTGAGCTATTTCTATTTAAAGAACTTTTCCAGCTTCCTTCTCACTACTTATTTAAATAAGATGGTTTCATTATAAAAAATGGTTTCATTATAAAAAATTTCTCCTTATGTCAAGTTACTCATGGTAGTAAACAATAGAGGATCAGGACCTCATTTGCCAAGCTAAATCTGACAAACAAATAATAAAGAAAATTAGGGTTAATATTTGCCTATTTCATAAACTTAAAAATACTTTTGCTCTAAGAAGGAATATTTTAATCTGTAGCTGCTGGTGCCAGTCACCTGTAATTTAAAAAGTCAGCATATTGTCTTTAGTATAGAACAAGAAAGACTAGAACATCTATTTTTAAAAGGTCCCCCCTGACTACAAATACAAAAAATAACAATACTATACCCTTTCCAATTTTCTGTCAGGTAATTATACTATTTTCCGAACTTCTTTTAATACCAACAATTGCAACATCTTCAAAACTACAATTTCTATAACCCATTTCCCACATCTAGGTCTTTCATAAGTCAGTATTGTACATTCTCTCTTTGTTTAATCAAGCAGGAAGTAATGCTAATTTGAAACTGAGCTGATTTACTAAAAGAAGCTAAATAAATGCAGGAAAATACAAGATAAGATGTAAAGACTCACTCTTTTTGACTTTCATATGGTTGCCCTTCTCCCATATGGTGCTACCATACATCTGTTCCAGTTTTATTTTCTTGGTATCCAAGGATTGTCTGTTTCTCCTTGCAGTTGTGATTCTTGGATCTCTAAAACAATATTTGACATCAATTTAATTAATAAGATCTTTCCTCATTATTAATTTTATCTTTAAGAGTCCTACTTTCAAGTGAAATGTTAGCTTAAAAAAAAATTTAGTTTCAAGGTGTGTATATTTTTGTCTGCATTCACAGAGTTAAATCTCGGGAGCTAGGGACAGACATTCAAAAAGCCTGAGCCTGAATTGATTCAATCTTCGCAGGTTAGTCCAACCTGGCTAGGCTGAATCACTTTGTAATTGCACAGACATCCCAGAAATGCAGCCACATGCCTATACAGTAGCTCAGGCTAGAAGCCAGGGGATGCTAGAGCAGCCCTCCCTTCCCTTCCACACACTGAACTAGGGGTGGGGGTGGGGGGGCGTGGCCAGGCTCTGGCAGGATGCTCTGATTAGCCCAGCAGGGAATTAATAATAGTGTTTATCACCCCTAACTCAATGTTTATCACCCCATTAAGAAAACAACAGAGAGACATTACCAGCTACCTGTTGATGCTACCTGTTGATTCAGCACAGACTGGAGCCAGCATGTGATCTGCTAGCTAACGCACAGACACCTCTGCAAGGCAGAGGGAAGGGAGGAATTCCTGTTTAGCAGGAAGTGGTGATGGGAAGGGGGGTTAGCAGCCTGCAGTCTCTGCCGGAGCTGCAGCCAAGGAGCAGAAGGGAGGGGACAGCTCTGCTGTGGACCAGATAGCCCTGCCCAACCCAGAGAGTTTGCTGGGATGCTGGAGGAGTCTGATTTATCTTAAACCAGCAAGGGGTCTGGGACAGGCATTGCATAAACTGGTTTGAGCCAAATCATTTGGCACCAGAATGAGTGCACACCAAAAATCTATCAAAGACAACAACAGAACACCACCTGTCTCCAATCTCTCAGGCCTGATTCTCAAAGGGAATTTACAAACCACTTTTCACAGATGAGCCTATGAACTGCACTTCATCAGCCTCCTAGGTACGGAAACTCATGGACTCAATATAGATGTTGGAATTCTGACTTGCTACAACCTGCCAGACATCTGACTCCCCAGGTACCTCTCCATTTTTACCCGCTACATCCCCCTACCCCCCCACCCCCCGAGCCCAGCCTCTTAACCCCTGGTGCCTCTATTTCCATATTCACTGACTGGCTTTTTTGCCTGCATTGCATGCCTGCCTTTGGCTTCTTTATTATTCCTTCCATCCAGGAACGGCACACACACCAACATGTAGCTAAGCTGAGCTCATCTGGAGCCTCACAATTCCACTGCATCCAGCAAGCATCAGGCCTGTTAAAGATGTGATGGGTCTGGGCTTCCCCAGCCAGGACTGTGTGCATGCATGTGATGGCTGGAGGTTATGGTACCTCTTACCCACCTTTCACCAGGAGGATCCTTGGTCCTGGCATTTCCTGGGGCTGCCACACCCACCAGGCTTCCTGACCCTGGCAAGGTACAGGGTGCAGTTTTAGTGGTCATGCCCAGAACCTGGGGCCTCCTCCCCCATAGCTCCATCCCATACCTCCAAGTTCATCCCAGCATGGAAGCTCAGCTTGTTTGTCCTGCAGCATCGCGCCCCCCTTGATGCTCCGGTGGACAACAAGGTACAATTTCTATGCCACAAAGTGGATGCCAACAAAGTTGGCATCATGGACCGCCTTGGCTATATTGGCCTCATGTCAGTGACCATGAACCTGCAGGTGAGCTCACACTGCCCAATGAGCCACCCCTGCACCAAGTGGTTCATGGCCTCCATGATCTCTGTTGCTGTGCGAGACTCATCCAGCACCTCATTTGAAGGAAAGCCCACCAATGGCCTGACTGGTTGCACCAGTGCAGTGTGAGGGAGAAGTATGCATGATCTCCTCCCCGGCTGCTCCAGATGTCCAAGGTGAAGTGTAAGGCCACCTGCAGACCTGCCTTGTGCAGCTTCTCCCTCAAATACTCCCTGCATGCCTCATACAGGGAGGGCACCACCTTCC